TCTATCTGTCTATCTGTCTATCTGTCTATCTGTCTATCTGTCTATCTGTCTATCTGTCTATCTCATCCAACATTACCTTGAAGAGATGATCTTTTTAATACATGAAAGAGGAAGGAAGTTTTGTGGATGGACCACAAAACTGGGACTTTACTGTTCTTGCTACCTTGGGCAGTAGAAACACCAGAAGTAGGAACACTTAAGGCACGTTCCTAATAAATACCCATGTATTCAACAGAAAATAAGAGGATAGCTACCATTTTTTTCCAGTTCCCATGTGGCCATGAGAGGAGTTGCCAACAAAAGCAAAGAAAATAAAGAGATGACCAGTTGCTGACGACACATCTGTGGGAGAGAAAAAGACAAAAGACTGGCTATTAAGTCATCTTTGGGGACCAGATCACACTTCCTTGATCTTTTCCCCACCCTCCCTGTACTGAGATCAGACTAATGCTGATGTTCAAATAGGCTATTATGATATTGCTCATGTTATGTTATATGTTTATGTTCAAGTGTATTACAGCAACCTCTCATAAAAGGAGTTTGAACAAAATGAATGTGTCTAGTGCTTAGTATAATGATTAACAGAGTAGGCCCTTTATAAATGCTTGTTGACTGTATTTAGAGAAAGGAAGATTATGGAATTGAAGTTTCCCAAAATGTAGTGAAGGTAGCAGTGACAGGAGTAATTCATATGATGCTTCTCTTAGAATGTGAGGCAGGTATTGCAAGTGTTATTATCTTCGTTTAGATGAGAAAATTGAGGTACTGAGAGGCCTGATGACTTTCTTTTAGCAAAATAGTAAGTAGCTGAGGCAAAATTTGAACCCAGGACTCTAATTCAGTATGACTTCCATATGTCACACTGCCCCTATGCAACTTTAAAGTTATTCCTAAAATCCCCATGGCAAATTCACATAAAACAGGGTTAATGGGGACTAAATTAAAAATAGAAACAAAATACATCCTGAATCATTTGATAAAAACTTCTCTGGAGAAATGTATTTGTAGAGTGAGAGTATTAGCATTCCAATTCTCTCATTTTACAAATGAAGAAATTGAAGGCCAGTCTGATGAAATGATTTCCACAAGGCCACATAGTGACATAGGGTTTTTCTGAAAAATATCTTGGAATTTCAATGATCTGCAAACATAGCATGGACCAACAGAGTGATATGGCAAACAATACTCAGTCAATAAACATTTATTAAGCACCTACTATGTGCCAGGCACTGTGTTAAGCACTGAAGATACGAAAAGGAAAAAGATACTCCTTGCCCTTGGAGGAGACAATATGCAAAGAAATAAGTACAAACAAGCTATATTCAAGGTAAACAGGAAATAATTAAGAAAAGGAAGACTATAGTCAAGACAAGTTGGGTTCAAATCCTGCCTGTGAGATTTACTAGCTGTGTAACCCTGTTCAAATCATTTAACTTCTATATTTTGAATTAGAGATTACTTTAGTGCTGATAACAGGAAAAGCCTCAGGATTGAAATTAATTAAAATGTTAGAATTAAGAGGGGTTGAGCAAAGCTTCCTGTAGGAGATGGAATTTTAGTTGGGACTTAAAGGAAGCCAGGAAAGGCAATAGGTGAAGATGAGGAGGTAAAGCTTTCCAGGAATGGGGGACAGCCAGAGTAAATGCCGGAGCTGAGAGCTGGAGTATCTTGATTGTGGAACAGAAAGCAGGCCAGAGTCACTAGATTGCAGAGTATGTGTGGGGTGGGGGGGAGTAAGGTATAAGAAGTCTGACAAGGTAATAGGAGGCTAAGAGAGGCAGATCCTATGGAGTACTGTGTTCAGTTCTTCTGACATGAAGAAAGTGGAAGGGAAGGCAACCAAGAGAGGGAAGGACCTCAAAGTTCATGCAAGAAGGGGATGAGTTAGATGTACTAGAGATTTTTAGACTGGAGAAGATTTGGGGTGGGGTGGGGTTAACATAATAGCTGCCTCTAAGTATTTGAATGGCTGTCATATGGAAAAGGAATTAGATTTGTTTTTTTTGGTCTCAGAGGACAGAACTGCAAAGAGGGAAATTTAGGCTTCCCAACAAAATGGTGGGTAGAGATGTTTCTCTTCTTGGTGGTCTTTAAGCAAAGCTTGCACAACCACTTGCCAGGTCTGACGGAGAGGATTCTTGTTCAGGCATATGGTGGGCTAAATTGCCACTGAGATCCCCTCCAACTCTGAAATGCTGTTCTGTGATAAACAGGAAAGGCTGCCCCATGGTGCTCCAACCTCAAATACATCATTTCTTCTTCACTTTTCTAGCTGTCATTCACTTCTTTGGCTCAACAATGTTAATAATAAGAAACAAAAGGAAAAATAAAATTGTATTGATAAGCCTGGTATTCTATTTGTGAAGTGCTTTGCAAACTTCATTAGTGTGCTTTCTTTCTAAGGAAGGATGGAAGAAAAGGAATGAATAGGTCAAATTCTAATTAAAAAAATTCTTCCGAAGGACTGCCTAAATTCTTTGTATTACTACTACTACTACTATCATTATTATTATTATTATTATTATTATTAGTAGTAGTAGTAGTAGTAGTAGTAATAGTAGCAGTAGTAGTAGTGGTGGTGGTGGTGGTAGTGGTGGTGGTGACAGTAGTAGTAGTAGTAATAGTAATACCAGTGGTAGTAGTATTAGTAGTTTTCAAGCAATTGGTTTGAAATAAGTGAGCCAATAGGTGGGATTTGATTATTTTTTTGTTTTGTGTCAAGTTTATGATAGTGGTGGAAACAGGTTTTCACCAGAACAAGTATAATGTGACAAATGTAAGACATTTTAAGAAAATGTATAGCTTTTTTCTTTGAGATGTCCATAAATTTAAGCAGCTTTTAAGAAAATAATTTAATATCATTAAAAAATTTCGTTACGCCCAAAGTAAAGTTGGCCAAGTTAGTCAGATAATATAATAATCAATTTGATTTCTCTCACAGTCTAGGCAGCCAGAAACTCTGGATCAGTGAGTTCCTTGTAGATTCACTTGTGATTTAGAGGCATGCCCTCTTTGACAATAAGAAAAATAAAATCTTTAAAAGGTTATCAAAAGACCTCTTCATCATCAATAAGCTGATTAAAATAGGATGAAAGACCTTGGGTGTTGATGGGGTATCACATTGTTATTACGTTAGTACTGATAATAGGAAAAGCCTCAGGATTTAAATTAATTAAAATGTTAGAAAAATAAATCACAGTGAAGGTAATATATAGTATAAAGCAGATCTCTCTTAGTCTTTGCTTGAGTTAAGAGAATGTAGAAAATGAGATTTAGAAGACATGGAAGATGAGATTTAGCAACTAAAACAAACAAACCAAGTCCTATTCAAGCTGTCCTAAGTAAAAATGATTTAAATAAACCTTCTTCCTCTACCTTTGAATATAAGAAACCTTTTACCGAACAGTGTAAAATATACCAATAAATACATATAACCCCTCTTCACATATCATAACAACAACAAACAATTAAAAATTCATATTGATTTTAGCTCAAGGATACTCACCTTGCTGGCTCTGTAGGTCCTGAAGATGCTGAGGCTTCAGTTGCATCTATGGCTTCACTGCTCGCCTCCATGTTATATACCCCAGCAACTTTCTACGAAACTAAGCTTCCAAATTGCAACACAGAAAAAAAATACTCATGAACCCCGGGGATTTCAAGCAGTTCCTTTTTTGTTTGTATCAATAACACAAACAGAAAACCTCTGAGTCCCAGGTAGCCTAATAAGAGGAAATTCCTCTCTGACCTTTGGGTAGGGATAAAGGAAGAAAGGAGATATGATTTGGTGATTTATATAGATATAATATTCATGTTGTTAGGCACATATTCATGTGAGGAATCAGGCACAGACCACAGGGAAAGGACCAGAGAGATAGAAACAAATCTTTAGATCATGTTACATGGTAATGGAAGAGAAACTACCCTTTTTGCATATTAGTTTCCTAAGCTGGAAAATGAGGTGTTTGACTAGATTAGGGGTTGTTAATCTAGGATCCACTGATGCTCAAGGGGTCCATGGGTAGATTTTAGGAGATCCATGAACTTAGATTGGAACAAATATAACATTTCTTTCAATTATGAATGTAGACAATAAAAATTATTGAGAAGGGGTGCATAGGCTTCACCAGAATGCCAAGGGGATCCACAACACACAAAAAGATTAAGGATCCTGTGCTAGAATAATCTCTAAAGTCCCTTTAGCTCTGAGTCTGTGAGTTTAACTATTTGACAGCTAATTCCTATATGGTATTCCATGGGAGGAAGCGAGAAGGAAGTAGTTTGAAATACTGGAGTGACAGTCCCTTTTTCCCAAGACTATACATTCCAGATTCCTACTTACACAATTTCCAATTGCCATCAGTCAAACTCAAAATCAAACTTTGAGTTCACTTGATATCTTCCTGAGCTCTCTTTGTTCCCATGTAGAGTTATACCACTCAGATACTTACATCTGCCATGGCCTGGCCTCATAATTCAGAAAATGCTTAAATCACTCTGGTGATCAGCATTGATTCCCATGGCCTACAGCCTTTCTGGACAGCTACAGCCACCCGACCCTAGAACCCAGCATAAGAGGGACACCAAGGAGGGCCTGCCTTCTTTACACTCTGCCAGCATTTAGCACCTGCATTGCACACACTCAGCAACTCTTGCACATTTTGGTCTTCCTTTTACCCTATTCTTCTTTACCCAATAACTGCTCTATGATCACAAACACATTTAGGGGCTCGATTTCTCTCTCTCTTTCTCTCTCATATGTATTATAGATATTAAATTGCCACTCTTAATATTTTAAAACTGGAATGAAAAGAATGATAAATGACTGTGGCTAGCTGTAGGGAAACTGTCTTCACACAGCTCTTTGCCTCCTGGGATTCTTGGCTTACCTACCAAAAGCACTTTAAAAAATTTCCCATACTTCAAACCCATCCTATCATAGATTAGATGTTCCCTAAGGTGGTTAAAGAGCTGACATTCATTGATTCTGTCATCTTCTATGGTTCAATACATACATGCATGTATACAAATGACATGCAGATGGACAGAGCTATAATAATAATAACTCACATTTATATGGTGCTTTAAGGATTTGAAAGTGCTTTATCTACATTATACCACCAAAACCAATATGGTGCAGTGGATAGAAATTTGCCCTGGAAACCAGAAGACCTGCTTCTTTCACATATTGGCTCTGTGACCATGGATATTTCACTTATACTCTCAATACACTAGGCCGGGGGAGTCACTCCTATAGGCTCAAGGACTCCCACAACATTCCTGAATCTGGTTTGAACCAGATTAAAATGTAATTGGGAAATACTTAACAAAATAAATAAAAATGCAATACTATATTACTTAAAATATTCAGATATGTTATATATATAACATTACATTTTACAATTAAGTCAGTATGAGACTTGCAGGGATTCAATTAGTGCCCCCTACTTCCCCTTTTCTATTTGCATTTGACAACGTTGCTTTAGTTAACTTTCTAAAACTGTACATTGCAGAGGTGCCAACCCTCATTGGCAGAGGGAGTTTCTTTGCCAGGGAGTTCCCTAGACTGGTGATAACCACAGATCCAGTCCCTATGTCATTCCCTATCTCATATAATACAGATAGTCTTATAGACAGCTAGGATAATACATAAATGCAGAACTATACACATGTACATGTGTATAAACAGAGACAAATGGCTACATACACACGTTTTCACACATGGGCACACACAGACCCAGACAAAAAAGATAAAATACACTTGAGCTCAGTCACAATCCCACAGTGCTTTGATGCACAGATATGCCTGCACCCCTACAAAGAAAGAAAATCTATTTGTTATAAACAACAGATACATAGAACACTAGACCTAGATATATACCCAGCATCACAGATTTAGTGCTGGAAGGGAATTCAGAGGTCATCTAGTCCAACTCCTACGTTTTTTCAAATGAGGAGAGGGAAGATCAGCGAGGTTATGCAATTTGCCCAAAGTCACACAGATGGTTTATGAAGAACCTAGATTCACACCCAGATCTGTTACTCTTAAATTCTGGTTTGAATGACAGAAATCACTAAGTTTTTACATGCACATACACGTGTCGGTGGGGGGGGCAAACAACAAACCCTCTCCCTTCTACCTCTTTTAGAACCCCCAATTAGAGAGCTGCCTAGGGGAATTGAGCTCTGATGAAACCCCCGCATTCTGGGGTTGTGGCCCAGAGGAACCCCCATCGTCCTTCCGCTCCCCCTGCCCCGGGAGCCAAACTCCGAGTCCTCCGACCCAATCTTCTCGGCTGGTTGGGAACTGGAAGTTCCTGTGGCCAGGGAAGGGGACCCGGGGAGAGGAGCAGTCCTGCTCAGAGTTTCCAGCGTTCTTTCCTCCTTTCCGATCTTGAGGTGGAGAAATGGGAAACAGAGAACTGGGAGCTTCCCAGCCTCTCCAGTCCCACTTCCTCCCACTCCGTCAGCTGGCCAGGGGAAGAAGGGGAAGTCCCAGCGAGATCTCTCTCTCTCTCTCTCTCTCTCTCTCTCTCTCTCTCTCTCTCTCTCTCCCTCTCTCTCTGTGGGGTCATCAGACGCAGATACCTACAACCCTGATCGTTCCGAGGAGAGTATCCGCTTGCCCCTCGTTCCCCAAGAGTTCGCCGCATTCCCCAAAGCTCTGAGTGAAAGCTACCTGTAACTTGTCAGGTGCATCTACCTGGTTGTTCCACCCGGCTCCTCCCTGGCTGGGGGTGGAGGATGCGCTCACCACCCTTAACCTTAACCCACGACTCTCCGACGTCCAGCTGCTGATATTTCAGTGGGATTCGGGTCTGACTTTGGAAAACTGTGGAGGGCATGGGTCAGTCTAGAGTTCCAGTAACACTGGTAGTTGGGGCAGGATAAGGGGTATATTTAATCCTTACATCAAGCTTTAATAGCGATAACGGGGTTCCCCTCCAAACTGCTTCAGAAGAGAGCAAAATTTTAATCACAGGTGGTTAAAGCCCTAATAGAAGAGGCCACTCATGACATCACACCTGATTTGAATTCTGTTTTATTTATATATTGCCAGCTTCATCTGTCAGAGAAGGATATGCAGAAGTCACAAGAAGGATAGCAGAGAGAGTGTCGGTCAGAAAGAACGTGAATAAATCCAGTTTATATCCACTGATGAAGAAAACATTTTTCAGAGTACAAATAGTGAAGAGAACTCTGTTTTCTGAAGTCATGGGATGACAGAATCTCAGAATATAAAAGGAGCTTAGAGGCCAGTTAGCCCACCCCATCACTGAACAAGAATCCTTTTTATAATACATTCAACCTGTGGTCATCTAACACTTTACTGGAAGAGCTGTCAGGAAGGAAACTTCTTTCAGAAGCATCTCATTCCACTTAGGGATCATTGCAATTGTTGGGAAGTTTTTATACCAAGTCTAAATCTACCTCTTTGCAATTTCCACTCATTGCTCAGAGTTCTGCCCTCTGGGGCCAAATGTTTTTGTTGTTGAGTTGTGTCTCACTTTTTGTGACCCAATTTGGGGTTTTCTTGGTAGAGCGGTTTACTATTTCCTTCTCCAGCTCATTTTATAGATGAGGAAACAGAGGTCAACAAGGTTAAGTGACTTGGCCAGGGTCACACAGCTAGTGTCTGAGGCCAGATTTTAATTCAGGAAAAGGAGTCTTCCTGACTGCTGGCCCAGCACTCTATCCACTGTGCCAACTAGCTTCCCCAGGGATCACAAAGAACAAATCCAATCCCTCTTCCATGAAACAATCCTTCAGCTATCACATTCCTTAGTCTTTTCTCTCTTCTCTGGACCGCCCGTCCCCAGGCTTTTCAGCCGATCATCATATGTCATGAGTGTGAGGCTTTTCATACTGCCACAATCTATCACTCTGAAATTCCTTTCTCTAACTAGAACTTCCTGCCCTGCTATCTCTTTCTGTGTTTAATTCTTCCTAAACCTATTCTCTGTCCTCACTGCAATGTCCAGACACTCCAATCCTTTGTGTTTTTCTGGACTAGCATTCCCACTTTCTCCTTATTTTCTTCCCTTCAAAATTCTTACCCATTCATTGGTCAATCAGCTCAACTTTATACTATTATAGATCCTCAAATACCTTGTTTTTATCTCTGCTCATCCCTTTCCAAGCTACAAACCCGGATTCCTCCTATCTGCTTTGTCTGCTCCTTCTCCAATGCTTCTACCAGGGTGTGGAAGTAATGGATTTCACACAACTGTGCTCAGTGGGTTCACTACAAATGCTTGTTACCTAATCCCAACTGGATGCTCAATGCTGCATGCCAACTCCCCCCTCTTTTGTTGTCTTTCAGTAGTTTCAGTCATCTCCAACTCTTTAAGACCTCATTTGGGGTTTTCTTGGCAAAGATACTTGACTGGTTTGTCCTTTCCTTCTCCAGATTATTTTACAGATGAGGAAACAGAGGTGACTTGCCCAGGGTCACCCAGCTAGTAAGTATCTAAGGCCAGATTTGAACTCAGGAAGATGAGTCTTCCTGACTCCAGGCCTGGCATTCTAGCCACTGTGCTACCTAGCTGCCCTTCCAATCCCTTTACTTTTCCCTTTCAGACTCCCCACAGTGGCCACTTTAAACTTTCCTTACTCTCTTCATGAAACCTACACTATCCCTTCTCTCCTTCTCAGGAGAGACCCTAACCTTGTATATTCACTTAAGAAATTGAGAGTATCCCTCAAGATCTCCTTCTCTTTCCCAACTCTGAACCTCATGTCACTTCATCATCCCTCTCCTTCCTTTGCTTCAATCTCAGGCTTTCCTTCTTGCTAATGCAATCCCTCTACTTATGGCTTCGATTCCTTCCACTCCTACCAGCTCTTGAAGCTCATCCTTTTGACAATTCCTTATCTTTTTTCCCCTAGTTTTCAGCTACTTCTTATCCCCTGGCTCCTTTCCTGCTGTCCACAAATGTGTCCAGGTCTTTTCTAGACTTCAGTAATCACCACCATCACTATCACCTCCACCAACTTTACTTTAACCCTACCATTCCTTTAAGCTATTATTCTACATCTCTCCTCTGTATCTGTCATACTTCTAGAAAAAACTGTCTATATATGTATTCATTGTCTTCATTTTCTTACCTCCTACTCACTTTTCAATTCCTTGAAACTTGCTCTTCGTTCCTACTACTATTTGACTGAAACTGCTTTCTCCAAGGTGCCCAATGGTCTCTTTACTGCCAAATCCAATGACCAAATGACCAAATCCATTTAGTTTACATCCTTCTTAATCTTTCTGCAATGTTTGACATATTGGTGACCCCCTCCTTCTGGATACCCTCTCTTCCCCAAGTTTTCATGGTACTGCTCTGTTGTTTCTAACTGTGTAATCTTCTTCAATCTTCTTTTAAGAATCATCATACATGTTCCATCTTATTAAATTGTAGCATATATGTGAATATCTCTAGACTCTGTCCTGGGATCTCTCTTCTTCGTTCACTATGCTAACATTTATCTCTGTTTCCTTTAGAATAAAATACAAGCTCACATTTTAGTCTCTTGCAATCTGATTTTCCAGGCTGATTATACATCATATCTGCATGTTCACTCTATGCTTTAGCAAACCTGGTGTACCTGCTGTTCCTTGTAGATGAAATTCCATCTCTCACTTCCATACTTTTGCATGACCTTATGACCATGTGCCTTTCCTTATTTACTTTTACTTCTTGTGACCCCTGGCTCCCTTTAAGGCTCAGGTAAAGCAATACCTTTTATGAGAGGCCTTTCCTGATTCCCTCAATTTCTAGTGCTCCTGCCCAAATTTTGTTTTTCTTTTGCATACATACTATATTTGCTTATCTGTGAACATGTTGCATCCCCCAGTAGAATGTAGGCTCACTAAGGGAAGGGATTCTTACACATTTGTAATTGCATCTTTGATATCTAAAACAGTAGCTGGCATGTAATAGGTGCTTAGTAAATGTGTATTGTTTGATCACTGATTGATCTTTGTCAACCTCCTCTGGCTCTAGTTATTCTTATCAATATTCTTCGTAAAATGTGTTGCCAAGAATGGAATGTAGTATTGCAACCTCTGACCGGGGGCAGAGTATGGTGGGATTATAGATTCCCTAGTTATGGATGCTGTATATTTCTCTTAATGCAGTCTAACATCACGATCATTTCTTTTGGCTGCCATACATCATTGAATCATATAGAGCTTGCAATCTACTAAAACTCCCAGATCTTTTCCAAAGGAATTTATCTGGTCAATCCTTCCCCATTTTGAACATTTTTTGGACCCCTGTAAGACTTGACATTTATTCCTACTAAATTTTTTCTCATTATATTTTATTTCATGTTCTAGACTGGTTGTATCAAACTCAAATAGAAACAGATCCCTGTGATGGCATTTTGACTTAGAAAACACCAAAATAAGGGGCAGTTAGGTGGTGCAGTAGATAGAGCTCTGGCTTTGGAGTCAGGAGGACCTGCGTTCAAATTCAGCCTCAGACATTTGACACATTAGCTGTGTGACCCTGAGCAAGTCACTTAACCCTGATTGCCTCACCAAAAGAAAGGAAAAAAAAATCTTTCAAGTCACCTGTCCATTTTGGGGAGCTAGGTGGCACAGTGGATAGAGCAACAACCCTGGAGTCAGGAGGATCTGAGTTCAAATCCGACCTCAGACACATAATACTTACTAACTGTGTGACTCTAGGCAAGTCACTTAACCCCAATTGCCTCATCAAAAAAAAAAAAAAAGAAAAAAGAAAAGAAAACACCAAATTAGCATTATCTATGTTCCATTGTGTTTTTATTTATTTTATTAAATATTTCCCAATTATAATCTGGTTCAGGCCTCATTTGGGAGTTTTGCTCTACAAGTTTCACACTTCTGTTCTAGACTATTTAGCTCTTTTTTGTGTTTGCCATTAAAAAAATCTAAGCTGTATTTCCTGACTTTGAGTCATTTTGGAAAAGTATGCCATCTTTGTTACTATCTAAGTCATTGATTTAAATATGAAACAATCTTAGCCAAGTACATATCTTTGGTGGACTCCACTAGAACTTCCTCCTAAGTTGATTAGAACCATTAATTACTACTCTTTGGGGCCAGCCACTCAGCCACCTTTGAATCTACCAAACTTCACTATTATCTTGCTCACATCTCTTCTTTTTGTCAATGAAGATTATGAGGGAGTTTGCCAAATGCTTTGCTAAAATCTTGGAAGGTTATATCTATAGTATCTTGATGATCTGACTGTCTAGTAATACTGTAAAAAAAAAAAAAGAAGTTAGTCTGGCATGACCTGTCTTGGCAAAGTCAGACTGGCTCTGAGTGATTATTGTTTCCTCTTCCAAATAATCACTAACTACGACTCCAATAATCCATTCTGGAATCTTGCCAAGGATCAACAGTCAAGCTCACTGGGGTATGGTTTGCTTATTTCACCTTCTCTTTTTTTGAGAATAGACATAACATTTGACCTTCTCCAGTCCTGTTGCACATGAGTCTGTCATGGATCTTTAAAAAATTAGTAGCAGTGGCTCAGCAATCATATCTGCCAACTCTTTTAGTAAACAAAGGCCAGATGGCTTGAACTCGTCAAGGACAACTCAGTGCTTTTTTACTATTTCTCAATTTATATTGGGTGGCAACTCCCTGTTCACCACTTTTTTCTGTCCTTTTTAAGCCAAAGACCATTCTTCTTGGAAAAGAAAATAGAAACAAAATGAGAATTGAGCAGCTTCGACTTCTTTTTGTCATATGTTATTATTATCCCATTTATTCTGA